AAATTAAGATAATAAAAATTCGTCTAATTGATTTATATATAAAAATTATAAAGAATATGGAGTTTATGATGTTTTTAAAATTTATAAAGATTATAAGAATTATGAAAATTATGAAAATTATGGAAATTATAGGAATTTCCAATCATAACACTGTCTTTATTAAATCTTATCTTATAAATAATTTAATTAATTACATATAATTACATCATTATATTTATTGTACACTACTGGACATTTAATCAGGTTGCTATAGAATATCAGTACTATATTGCTATAGGACCATTTACACACTAAGTAAATACAAAGGAAGATATTTATTAGTAGTAGTGATATCCTATTCTATTTTATTAATAGTATAGAAGAAGACGCATTTATTACACAACTGGATTTTAATAGTAAACAAATGAAATTGATAATTAAATACAAATAAATGATTGGTTGAAGTCACAATTGATAATAACATCAAGAAGAGCCCGAAATAATGAATCATGACAACGACATAATTAAAAGATCAAAGTAATAATAGTTACAACCAATTTTTATTATTAAAGAACATTTTATAAGATAATATTTGATCTTGATAACTTGATAATTCTAAGCTAAGATACATGCTGCTTATATATCTATTTTTATCTCAAAAAAGAATCAATTAAAATCTAACCCATTTTCATGTATCACAAATAACACACAATATCACTTCAATTTGCCAAGTGTTGCACATTTAAATCTAGTACCAACACATGCTAAAATACTAAAATACTATTGATATTTCTTTGCTATTATACAAATCAAACTAATTAAACACAAAGAAAAATTAAATATATGAGAAAAACCAATTAAAATATAAAAATAGAACACATGCTAAATCTTAATAAAATGATCTATATTAAGCATGTATTATGACATAAATCTAATTTATAATAAAGAACCAATTATAAAAACCAATTAGATTTCTAATAATCATTGTTCTTTGTCAAATACTATCATCATGTGAGAGAAATATAATTATTGTAAATAATTGTTAAGCTCCTCATGGTAATGATGTTATGCTTACCTAACTGGACTTTTGCATAAATGTATCAACAAATAGCTAAATAATATATAATATGTCACAATGGTGACAGTATGAAAAACATGTATTAATTAATCTATATAATTGCCTACCTTTTTTTTCTGATTATGGTCCGAATCAGAGGAAATAGAAGAGTTATTACTTGGTTCATACTAATAACAAATATATCGTTTTGTATTGCATATCAATATCAACTTGCATCACTATCATAATCAGATTCACGCCGTTTTCTTTTATCGATCTCCTGCTAAAATTTACAGACGCCTCTTAATATTAATCCATATGTCATGACTTACATCGGTACTACTTACCTTCTCTTCATGATCCGAATCAGAAAAGTCAGTTTCATTCAAATTGTCACTGTAATCAACAGGTGTGCTATCAAAAGCCTCCTCATACTAAGGGATGCCATAAAAAATAAATATCCATAATTAAAAGAGACATCTTTTATTTGTATAAATAACATTCTTAAAGTTCTACCTCTTCATAATCCTTAAGAGGCTCTTCAAGAGCAGTTGATATTAATGCAATGGAGTCGATGTCGTCAAGAATCGCCTTACGAACTTTTGACATCGATTCTGCTCCATCAGCGAAGGTTGAAGTGATGGCCTTGCTCTTGTATATTGTAGAACAGAAGCAACAGAGTGTTAGTCGGAAGGATTAGCAACTGGAAAAATCCTTAAGTTTACCCTAATTTGATCAACGGTTACGCGAGTCTTCACGGCTGTAGCGAGTTTCTTGCTCGAGAAGGTAAAAATTGGTCAATACAGTACTCCAGAAATCTCAACAGCAAGGAGCCTTCATTGTATAGCACCGACCAAGAGTCATATCTGTACGACCAAGAGTAATACAGCTGGTGCCATGACGCGTAAGCACCGACCAAGAGTCATCTCCATACGACCAAGAGTAATATGGCTAGGTGCCGACGCGTAGCTCCACTTTTATAAACTATCATAACATATTTGATTTACGTACCTTCCAGCCGGAATCCAGAAGTTTTTCTGCTTTTTGAGCATCACAATCTTCCATTTTTGCACGTCGCTGAAGATCCTTCTTAATATTGTCGAGAGTACGGCAAATGTTGTCGTCGTAGTAGTGTGATGCAATTGCGTCAAAAGTCCAACATTCCGCGGGTTTTTTAAAGGTCATGATCATAATTTTTGCATTTACTAATTTTCACCCGAAGTTTTGATTGGATACAAGTAATTTCCATCACTGATTGGTTGACTGCACACCGGGTCTTCTAAATCAACCAATAAATATGCATAAATTTTTGATCAACCCGGCAAAACAATTCCGACACAAGAAATAATCTTTCTTCCAGTCCTTAATTCTAAAAATAACTGTTAATATCCTCAACCAATCAAAACTTTGGGATTTGAACACATACATATCATCCACATTATAGATTAGAGAAGAGTGAGTAAGTGTGGTTGATGAATAGATGAATGGTTATAATGTAAAAGAGATCCCTTTGTTTACTGTTATAACAACCAATTGATTCATTAGCATTGGAAAAAGTTTGGTTTGATACAATTAATGAACTTATTGTATCAATAACTCTCAGTTTTATACAATAACAATAACAAAAGACAAAGTTTAGATTTTGTGTCCAAACACAATTAGAAATAATAAATATTTCGCTTGACCTCAAGTGCAAAATAAAAATGAGGAATAAATCTGGTAGACGTGTCAATTTTATCATATTAATTATGGATTTGCTCTTATCTATGTGATAAAGCATTGCAGAAAATGCATGATATTCGATCTATTTTTAAAATACACATTGCTGTGCATAACATCTCTAGTCAACCAATCAAAAAGAAATTCGTATCACAGATATAATTTTTCTAGTAGTGTAAGGGTATTGATTGTTTCTTCATACTGTTCGTACCATAGTCTTTCATTATACGTAATACATCTTACCTCAGTCTTGAGACCGAACAAAAGTATGGCTGCAGAGTATAAGCAAGTTCTATATGAAATTCAACGGCAGGGTGGAAATAAAGTATGTTTTATTTGTTATTATTCATGATTTACTCTATTCTTTAAGTATAATATACTTGAATTGTCGAACTAAATTATAATTTCTCATTCATATTACCAGAACTGTGTCGATTGCGGTGCGCCAAATCCTCAATGGGCTTCGGTCTCTTTTGGGATTTTCATTTGTCTAGAATGTTCGGGGGTTCATAGATCTTTTGGTGTTCATGTCAGGTAAATAGTTGGTTTTTTAGTGATACGTAGCATGAGTATTTGCTTGTGTGGTTTTACGCATTTTGGAGTGGGTAAAGTACGAGATGATAGTGTAAGAGGTTCAGCCAGCATCTATACCATATTTATATAATAAAAAAAAGTAGTTATCCTATATCCGCGTATTTAATATATATATTCTGAACGCAAGAAATGCAGTATGAGTAATTCTTACAGTCCTAATTTTTAATATAATGTTAGTTTCGTTCGATCCATCACCATGGACAAATGGTTTGACGATCAAATAAAAAAGATGAAGGTATATATAATATGGAAATTAATTTCAAACGTATATAGAAGATCTTTCATATTTACGAAAAATAAACATTCGATTCTCTTAGCTAGGTGGGAACACCGAATGGCGTGATTTCTACGAATCATCTCCTGAATATTCTCCAAACATGACCCTAAAAGAAAAATATCACAGCAGTTTCGCAACGCAATACCGCGAAAAGGTACCTATCATTCTCCAACAATACTTTAGTATGTGTCATTAATAATATAATGATACATTAATTCTGTGTGTGATTTGACTCAAATATCTTCATATGTGGTAATTAACATGTTAGGTGTTTTTAAAAGTTAACAGCTAAATGTGAGGGAAAAAAGTGGACACCTTCGTTGACCTCAACTAGCAGATCAGCAACACCCAATCGTCAGTCTTCAATCAGCAGTAATAATAGCAATAATAATAGCCATACTAATAATAATACCCCGTCTCGACAAAACTCTTCACGCTCTTCTCCATCACCATATCAATCCTATCAATCTAACGGTGCGTTTGGAGACATTAATAGTAACAGTGCTGGTGGTGGCCTTTCTAGCACCAAGCTACAAAACGAAGTATATTTCGAGAGTCTAGGAAGAACAAACGACGATCGACCAGATTATTTGCCGCCCAGTCAAGGGGGAAAATACACTGGCTTCGGTAATCCTGCATTTGCCAATCAAAACACCGACAATAGTTCTAGCGCGGTACCCGATCTCGATGAATTAATTAATGATCCGGTAAGTGCACTCACAAAAGGGCTGAATTTTCTCGGCTATCAGGTGGTTGAGGGTGCAAAATTGGCGGCACAAGGAGCGGAAACTTTGGGGCAGACTGTTAATGAACGGGTGATTAGACCGACTGCCGACAAAGTTAGGGATCCGGAATTTTCATCACAGGTTGTTGGATATGTTGCGGGAATAGGTAAAACGGTAAGTGGTCGAATATGGTATTATTATAGTCGATTGATTGTTATTAATGACTTGTATAACAATAGGTGACGGATACTGCTTCACGTGGAATAACAACTCTTTCAAGCAATCTTGCTGCCGCTTCGCAAACTACCGCTTCTTATGCACGTTCTAACTACGCTACAATCTCTGATAATAACTCATCGCAACGAATATATGATAACAATGATAGTGAATTCTTTGCCGACACAATCAATCAATATCAACAAAACAATAATAATTATAGTTATTCTGATGGTGGGTATAATGATGGTGGTAGTGGTCGTAGCGAACCCCCTTCATTTCGTAATAATACACCACGAACATCGTCCCCGAAAATCACAAGTTCCGGGACTACGACGCGGAGGAGGGAAGGTAAATCTGAGAGCAAAAAAGAAGATGGATGGGAGAATGATTGGAATAAATGGTGATCTTATGATGATAAGGAAAATGATTATAAAAAATTTTTGGATACACCGCATAATATCACATGAGATGGTGGTATGTGGTTGGTTCAAAATTATTATTTATTAGAATCGAATTCATTGTATTTTGGAATTATTCTCTACTTCTAACCAATCAGACGCTATCAAATAAAATCGATTATATTCGTGTCATGTAAATCACGCCATCCTAAGGATGTCTTCCTCTTCAACCAAACCACTAAAAAACCTATACACGCGTCGAACAGCAACTACCGAACGCTCATGTTTTGTGTGTAAAAAGTTTTCTACGTGTGTTTTAAGAAATGAGGATGGAAGTGATTGGTTTTATACGTGTGTTAGGTAATGGAAATGAAACATGATTCTTTTTCATGTTGAATGAAATATCAACGAACTATTGGTATTTGTATGGATAGTGCTCATTTAAAGCATTTTCTTTTGAAGACCTTTGTAAACTTTATTAATTTATGTTTTTACTGGTCAAAGTCACCTCGATGATAGAGGCTTCGCCAGGCCTTTAATAGAATCTACTCCTACGTCTACTCCTCCTAATACTGCTAAACTAGGAACGACAACTTCCAAAATAAAAACTAGTGATGCAAAAACTAATGATGAAGGTGATAAGAAAGAACCAGTAAAGGAAAAACAAGAGAAAGAGAAAGAAAAAGATGATGGTGAAGAGAAAAATAAAGAAAAAGCACAGCGGCAAAATACTACTACTGAAACTAGTATTAATAAACCACAAACACCAGTGTCACCGCCACCTAAACCTCCACAATACATTCTCCATCGCGATATCTTTTATTCACGTCAATTGGAGCTATCAAAGAAACGACAGCGGAATGTGCTGACGCAGTTTCCTAGTGTTCCGAAATCAAATTTACCATAATTTAATATAAATCTAAGTTAAGAGGATACAATTTTATTTTTTCAATACTAATAAATTATTTTGAATCTATTTACAATATTTTCCCAATCACAATCTTTTTACCCATAATTATACGTAATAATAATCAATTTCAAATTCCGAAGATCAGAAAATTCACGAAACAAATCAAAAAAATAACCCCTTGTATTTTTTATCGTCTTGTGTTTTAATGCTTGATCCTCGTGGTTGCTTGTTTTCTTTGAATTTCTCGTAGTGATGTCTTTTCATATCGCTGTCCGCGTATTTGCTCAGATGATCTAATTTTCACGAGAAAAGTATTAATATTAGTTTATGCAATTTAATCCACATTTAAAAAAAGGTACTTGCCATGCTTGAAACACCTTTCACAGAATAAATCGTCGAAGCAATCGTGACATTTGTATGTTGCATCATCATTACAAATACCTTTTTGAGATAATCACAGAAATAAATAAAATATTCAAAAAAATGAATAAAAACGCCATACAAAAATTTAAATACATACAACACCAATTACTCGGGTCATCATTCAAACAATACCCGAATTCCGTAGGATCAATAGGGATTGGCGGCGGACCCAATTCCGCAACCTTTTTATCACTATCCTTTGTATTTTTCGCACCATTTTTTTCGGATTTCTCTTTTTTCTTCGCTTTAGCCTCTTTCTCTTTACTAAGCGCATTTAATTTCGCAACATTAATCGGAGTCCCACCGCCAATCCCCACTTTTAATAATTTATATCGATCCAGTAGTTCCTTATCAATGTCTTTTTTTGATTGTTCATATTGCATTTCGAGTTTGACTTCGTCTTGAAATTGACGCACTAGAGAGTCGACATCCTTGTCATCGTCATCATCTTCGTAATTGATTATTGGACCTACTACTGAGTCATTTGGATTAGTAGAATTCTTACTCTTATTAGTGTCGTATGAAGGAATGGTTGGAATATCAGGAGTATCAAGATCGGAAATGAGATCTGAAAATAAGGAGTGTGCCTTCTTTTTCTTCAATATTTCAATATCTCTATCTAGGTTCTTTTCGTCTCTTGGTATTTTTTTGGGTTTTGAATCTATTGTTAATGCATTTTTAGCTGAAGTACTCCCGTTTGATAATTCCTCAAACAGTAAAAGATCAATCTAAAATAAATATTATTAATATTAAAGAATTGATACCAAAATTGATATTTTTAATTACTTACTTCATGCTCTGGAATTTCTTCTTGATTCGAAGTCACTTTGCGATTTTCAACTTCTGGTTTTGGCGGCTTTCTAGTTTTCTTGACGTACGGGGTTGTTGTTGGTGTTTTGCTGACCATAGATACAGAATTAGAAGTGATGGTCGCCCAACTATCATTATAATTGCTACCATTGTTCCTACTGCCATTTTCATGATTTGCCGTGGCGACCGGTTTCTTTCCAAAGAGTCTAGCAAATCGTGACCGTAATTCACTCTCACTTTATTATTTATTATAATTTTTTTAATTAATGAATTAAAATAACGTATTATAAATAATGTGTAGCAAAAGTATTTCATTCGTTCTTACGATGCAACGACTGGTATAGAACTAGTAGTACTATTATTGGAATTAGACTTGAATCCCAAAATTCTTATATCACCATAACGCTTTTCGTTTTGTTCCTGTTCGAAATCAGAGTCTTCATTATAGCTATTTCTGTTGCTTTTTGAAAGAATTCTCATAGCGATAATAAAATTATGTTGGGATTGAACTATAATAAAAAATACGCGAGCTGCAAGGCATACCTATAGATGTTACATTAAAATTCTCATGACAATTGGTGTTAGATAATATCGATATCGGGTACGAGACACAATGATAACCTTAATATTTATGTAGCTAATGAAATTCGTATTATCGACAACCCATGTGTGTAGGACCAGGAAAAAATTTAAAAAGATTTAGTTTGCGAGCCAAAGTCGGCGTAAAATGACGGACGGATCGTGAGGCAACGATATCTCACGATCCGTGTTAAGAATTTTGCGAACTCGGGTTCGTTTGATTCGCCTAATCAAGACGAACACTCTTTGTATATATTCGGATCACAAAAATGAAATATAAGCGCCCAAAGTTGACTGATTTTTCTTGCCATTTTTCCGAGATCGCCGGTGTTGGTTAGGGTTAGTAAGAGTTCCCCGAGTGTCCAGTTTCTCCGTGTTTGTTTCGTCGCGACCGGATCCAGTGATTTCTTTAGTGCCAGCACTAGTATTCTTATTGGCTATTAAACTTCCCCAGCACAGGGATCTAAATTTTTCACCAAAAATTCAAATTTTTAAGTTTAGCCAAAATTTTCCAAAATTTTTAAATTTCGCCAAGTTTATATATTAAGTTTAGTCAATTTTTGATCTGCTATATTGAGAGTGATGTGTATTTACAAGTATATACATATTGATATCATCAGAAAATTTTTATATCTGATTATAATCAATTATTATCCAATAATCAATTATTATTGATTGTTAATAATCAATTATAATTGATTGCAATCAGATATAATTAGTGATTATTAAAATCAAATATATTCAATTTTTTGTTTAGAATCAGTGATCATTTATAATTGATTATAATTAATTACTAATTTTTAATAAAATTATATGATTTCAATTGATTTTTAAATTTAGAGCAACTGCAAAATATTTCATCTTCCTAATTTTTTATAAATACAAATATTGAAATTTTTTTAAAGGATAAATATCGATTATTATGATTGATAAATAAATAAAAATATTTGTAAAAATCGCATTTTAATTGGTTAATTAGAATTAGGATTAAGATTCTGGATATATAATTGATTAATATTAAAATTATAATAGTTGTTAAAATTAAATTGATCTGATAACTAAATAACAATTTATTTATATATAATAAAAATCATTATTTTAAATAGATTACAATTAATATTATATTAATTCTAATTTTATAAATGATTAATGCTATCATCATTTTACTTGAATTTCAAATATAATATATCTTTTTACATGCTCAACACATGTTTCAAATCAGATGGGAAAGATAAGATAAATAACTAAAAATAGTAACGTATATTCAATAAATTACTAGTTAGCTAAAAAGTGACTTAAGAAATTTTCTTATAATTTAATGTGTATTTAATAAGATAATTATAATAATGATTTATAGACAAGTAAAATATTATAAATTCAATTTATTAAATCATTTTAATAATATGATATCACAAACATGTGAGAGATCAAACTATAAATATAATATTACAAACGTATAAGAGATCATTAACATAACATTACAAACATATAAGAGATTATAAATATAATATTACAAATATGTGAAAGATTATAACAAAACTAAAATAAAACTTTAAAAACTTAAATAATAAAATAATAAAAGGAATATTTAAATATTCTAAATGTATTAATTTCAAAAGAACATTATTATCAAAGAAATTTATTTTTGAATCATTATATTTAAAACTTGACTAACTAATTTTTTCTAAGTTAAAATACATGCTTCTTTTATTTAAATTAAAATTATCAATGATATTCACAAGAAAATTGCTTATTTGCTTACTTGATTGCTTACTTGCTTACTTATTTGCTCACTTAGTCACTCGCTTATTTGCTTGTCTTGTGATTTATAAATAATAATATAAATATGATACAAGTAATAATATAAATAATAATATAAATAATAATATAATAATAATATAATAATAATATAAATAATAATATAAATAATAATATAAATAATAATATAAATAATGTAATATGAGATGTAAATATAAACATCTTAACTAATTTAAATATAAATATATATTCTCAAAATTATCCAATAAAATTAAATGATAATTTTGACTAATAATTAATGTGAAATTTCATTATATAACAATATAATACTTATCATATAATCAAATTACTCAATTAATTTTAATTATGCATGATTTTTCTTTTCAACTTGATTAAAAAAGTGTTCAAACTCTAAAAATGCTATTCTTTGAGTTCCATCTTAAAAAAATTTTTACTATCAGAAGATCTAATTGCTAATGTCTATTTTTTTTACCTATATTAATTATTCTATCAATTTATCTTTCACAAGTATATATACAATATTAAAAAGCTTTTAAAATTTAATTAATTCAATAGATATTTCAAGCAATATTTTATTTTATTAATATTTTATTAATATAATTATAATTGAACAAATAAATAAAAAAAATTAGTGCATTGTTGTGATTAGATATTTTTTATAATCACAAATGATCATTTCACATAATCACTTTACATGATTATCTTATATGATTACTTTAAATAATCACTCTGAATGATCATTTTAAATGATCATTCCAATCAATCATCTCAAGTGCTCTGACTGATCATTTCAAATATTCTAAATAATCATTTTAAATAATCATTTTATAATTATCAAATACTTATAAATATAACTTGTATCTTAGTTTAAAAATAATAATCAAAAAAATATTTTTTTAATAATCTTTTAGATAGTATTTTCATAATTTTCTATCTTAATTGCGAAGTTATTCTTGTATTTGTTTTATAATCTCTTGTTACTATTATAAAGTTATATTACCTTATATATTTTTGTATTTAACCTCTCATCTATATTGCAAAGTTAATAATAATATTGAATTAATAAAAGAAAATTATATCTTACTTGTTTATAAATTAACTTTAAAAGAATGCTCAACTTATTATAAATTGAATTATAAAAGATATAATTATCTTTGAATCTTTTTGATCTCATTTTAGCTGATCAATAAAATGAAAATACATTATTTACTATTATCATTTTCATCAAAAATTTTATAATTACTTAATTATTGATCAACAAAAATTAAGATATATTACAAAAGATATTAATATTACATTATATAATTCAATGATAATTAAATTAATTTGTCCTTTTATTTTTATATTATATTATATTATATAATTACATCAGCAAATTTCTGATACGGTTGAAAATCGATTGCCAACCATATTCATTGGCAATCGATTACCAACACCCCCACCGATTATTATCGATTGTTGATCAATCG